TGTGGCATGAGGGACTTCTCGGGTGTAATTTTTTTTGCTTAATCTGGTTGCTGATTGCATGGGTGTGTGCATTTATGACAGACAAATCATTGAGCTGTACACTTAAATGATTTTTGCCATTTTCTATATGTCTGTTATACTTCAATCAGAGTTCAAAAAACTATTTGCTATTTTGAGTTTTGCTAATATTTTAGCTGTATCATCTTCACAGCCCTGTAGAATATAGCTTAAAGGGATTTTAGGAACATATACCTGTGTAACTCTGTATGAGAACAAATCTTGGTTTAAAAACTAGTGCTTATGACATTTATGACATTCACTTTGCATGTTTATGTGCATTCATGTTTTTAGCAAGCATTTACTGAATATCTATGAGCGTAGCATTGTTGTAGGTACAATTGGTTGTCCTGGCCCTCTGGACATTTGTTAGGTAGGGGATGATGAGCATAGAAGGAGCGCTGGTAAAGCAGTGGTTAAGTGCTCAACTGCAAACCAAAAGGTCAGTAGTTTGAACCCACTAGCCACTCCGTGGAAGGAAGATGTGGCAGTCTGCTTCCATAAAGATTTACAGTCTTGAAAACCCAATGGGGCAGTTCTACCCTGTCCTATAGGGTCACTATGAATCGAAATTGACTCGATAGCAATGGGTTTGGATGGGATGAGCTAAAGACACATTCAACAGTTACGTAACAATATCAGAAAGACTACTGAGTAAGGGTTAAAATCGGCAGAACAGGCAGTATATGCTGTAGGGTGGTCAGAGAACATGAAGTCAGAGTGTATCAGGGTTGAGGTGGGCCTTGAAGAATGGGTGGGGTTTGAATACACAACAGAAGGGGAAAGGGATTTGAATACACAATGGAAGGGGAAAGGATGAGCAAAATCTTAGAGCTGGGAACTTAAGGGGCATGTTGGGGAACAATGATGAGATTGCCTGACTGGGGCAGTGAGTCACAGCTTGCACAGGTAGGCTGCAGCATAGGTGGAGTAATAAAAGGGTTAAGTACCTGGGTTCTATAGTCAGACTGCCTGAGCTTAAATACTGGTATCTCTACTTGCAATCTCTGTGTCCTTGATCAAGGTAAACTCTCTATGCCTCAGTTTCCTTTTCTGAAAAAGGGAAATAATAATAGTTCCTACCTCTGGGAGTTGTGACAATTAAATAAGATGATGTAAGGTACACTGTGTATATATGGTCAGTGCTTGAAAAGTGCTGCAGTTATTATTACAGCCAGATTATACCCTTAATGCTAAGCTAAAGAGTTTTCACCTAATTCTGTATCCACTAAAAGTTTTTTTGTAGAAGAGAGAGAAGATGAAGATGATTTTTAGGAAGATTCACCTAGTAGCAATAAGGAGCTTGCTCATCAGTAAAATGAGAAGGGATTGGGGAGAATTGATAGCAATAAGGAAATTGAGGGAAGGAGGCACATTCAGGAAGAAAGATGTGAGTTATATTTTGCAGATTATTTTATAGGTGATTGTCCACTTGTACTAAATGCTTTTTTTAGGGGCAATCTTTCTAGATGTCAGTATCTTCAGTTTTTATCATTAGATCTAAAAG